TCTACCAGCGTGCAGTCCTACGTTTCCCGACGGACTCCAACCTCTGGGAGGACTACGTCATGTTCCTCATCGACCAGAATACGCACGGTAACGCGAGAGCGACCACAATACCGACGCTCGAAAGAGCCACCAGGCATTGCCCATGCACTGGTACCCTTTGGTCGCAGTACCTCCTAAGCTCCGAGCGGGAAGGACAATCTTTCCAGAAGATCGCTGACATCAAACACAAAGCCACAAGTACTGGCTTGCTGGACGCCGGTGGTATGGAGGAGGTACTGAAAGTCCATACCGCCTGGTGCAGCTACCTTCGTCGGCGCGCCTTTCTTTCAGATTCGACCGACGAGGACCTGGATGTTGCTGAGGTTGGCATCCGATCCGCCATCGAAAGTGTTCAAGAACTCGGTGAGAAGAAGTACGGTCGCTCATACCAGGGTGATCCGCTGTTTCGTCTCGAACGCATCTACATCCGTTACCTGAGTGAAAGCGGCAGTTGGGACAGTGCACGCGAAACCTTCAAGGGGTTGGTTGGTCGCCGTGGCAATAGTTACGAATTCTGGCTCACCTACTACCATTGGGAGCTGATCTCGTGGAGCAAATTTGTGCAGGGAGAAGCGACGGCGGATGCCGCACGGCGGACTCCCAACCCCAGCTTTGCAACCGCCGTGTTGAAACAAGCCATCAAGCGGACAGACCTGGATTGGCCCGAGAAGATCATGCAGGTCTACGTCGCGCATTGTGAAGATTACGAGGACTCGGACGAACTCCAACAGGCTGTACTGGAGACTAGGAAAGCCATGAAGGCCATCAACGCACGGCGAGAAAAGGAGGCTAGAGAAGCGGCGGCATTGCAGCAACAGCAGGCGGCGGCGACCGATCTTGCATCTCAAGCAGAGAAGCGTAAGCGCGAGGATGACACTGGAGTAAATGGCTTTCCCAGCAGTAAAAAGGCCCGTGCCCAGGAGCCAGCACCAGCACCCGCACCAGCACCCACTGCGGCGCAACCTGAGCCTGTCGCACTCCGGCGCGACCGCGAAAATGCCACAGTGGTTGTCAAGAATTTGCCTCACCATATTACGGAACACCGAGTGCGACAGTTCTTCCGTCATGTAAGTTTCTCCCCTGGTTTCCCGGGTTGTCTTCACTTCCTCATCTGACTTGGATAGTGCGGGACAATCAATAGCTTGACGATGCTGCCAGGCGACGATGGAAACTCCGAGACCGCCATTATAGAGTTCGAAACAAGAGAGGAAGCTCTCGTGGCTCAGACTCGCGATCAGAAGTTGCTTGACGATAACGCCATTGAGGTTCATCTTGGCTCCGGATCCACCTTGTTCGTTACGAACTTTCCATCGACTGCTGATGAAAGTTATATGCGAAATCTGTTCCGCGAGGTAGGCACCTGCCCGACAGCTCCCATGTAATACAACACTAACCAGTCTTAGTATGGCGAGATTGTCGATATACGCTTTCCATCTCTCAAATACAACACTCATCGACGGTTCTGCTACGTGCAGTTCAAATCCTCTGGGGATGCCCATAATGCGACCAAGCTGAATGGCACCCGGGTCGGAAGTGATCTCAATCTGGTAGTCAAGATCTCAGATCCGTCTCGTAGAGAGGACCGTCATGGACCTGTTTACGAAGGGCGCGAGATCCACATTTCCAACATTGACTGGAAAGCCAATGAGGGTGACCTTAAGGAAGTGTTCCAAAAGTATGGCACTATCGAGACGGTGCGGATCCCAAGAAAGGTCGATGGTGGCAGTAAAGGGTTTGGTTATATTGTCTTTTCCACCAAAGTATGTTTTCTGGCCATCCGGCTACTGAGTGTTACAGCTAATCTCTCGGATAGGAGGAGGCAGAAGCTGCCCTTGCTATGCATGAACAGGAATTCCGCTCGCGTCCGCTACAAGTCCGAATTTCGACCCCCCAAGGTGCTAAACGAACTGCAACCACTATCGTGAACCGCGTCCGAGCGTCACAATCCCCTGCAGCGGAGGCGAATGGGACCAAAGCGCCATCAGTCGAGCCTGAAGGCGCAGCCAAGGAGCGCTCGGCGCGGACCCTGGGGCTCATGAACGTTCCTGACACGGTGAATGATGCGCGGATCCGTGCACTGGTGGAGCCTTATGGACCGCTCATCAAAATCGTCCTGCGCCCTGATCATCAAGGGGCTATTGTCGAATTTGCCGATGTTAACCATGCCGGCAAGGCTTCGCTCGAACTTGAAGGACAGGAAATTGCTCCGGGTCGAAGATTGCATGTGGGCACGGTTTCGGAAATGCTGAAGCAGTCAGCGGAGAAGAAGGCGGGCCCCGGTCAGGCGACAAAGTCGAAGGAGAAGGCCGCATTTCTCCAGCCGACCGGACCGATCAAACGTCCTGCGCAACCCGGTCAGCGCGGTGGCCGAAGAGGTGGATTGGGGGTGAAGCGGGTCAGCATTCCTTCGAGCGCCGCGCAGGGGGGAAGCACGAAAGCCGAAGAAGGCGCCAAAAGCGCGACGACGATGACGACCACGAATGTGACGACAGAAAGCAGCGCTCACCCAGTTGGCGGTGAGAAGACGAGGAAGAGTAATGATGATTTCCGTGCCATGATCCAGCGGAATCGAGGCGAATGAGAGCAAAAACTGTGCGCGGCGCTTCGGATTGTAATGACCGGTTTGGCGTTTTCCCCCTTTCTCCTTCCATTGATGTCCCTCTTCTGGACGGTCCGCTGCCATAGTGACCCGAGCGGAAGAGTTCCCTCTGCTGTCGTGACGGTTTCCTTGATCATGCCTTTCTACGCCCGCCTGATGGAAAGGCGCACGATGCCCTTTTGGCGTCTGTAGATTATCATTGCACTTCTTTTCCTGCGTTTCCTTTTTGTTTCTTGTCTGAGTCGACATGTTGTCCATCTAATGATTCTTCTTCTTGTACCTGACCGTTGACCGGGGATATACCGCAGGCATATGCGGGCTGGGTGATGGCTGCGGATAATACTGCCTCTGCTATGACTTGGACGTGTTGTTTCATGACTGAGTGGTAGGCAACATTATATGATCAATTGAAAGACATAGCTATCTCTGTCATACAAAACTGTCCTCAGTATAGCGCAACTGTATGCCTGGCATCGTTGGAGATTAATAATTCATCTGTTTCCCGCAATCTGCTACGCTATGCAACCCCCGCAATGACGGACGCTTTGACCGACCAGATCAGCCTGTTTAGAGTGACTTGACTGTCTGGGACCGGCCGTTCCCCGTATTCCTATTATTCTGCAACAGACCGCAAGATTATACACGAGTCTAGATCAGGTAGAAAGAGAGATGATTGGACAGGAATGGGATGATAATGGCTTGGTTGATCGACGGGTCATTCGGACAGAGGAATTCGGTTTGCAGGAGTGCATGACCATTGACCAGCGTAGGTGGGATATATCTTAATTAATCCGGGGGTTAGGTAGTACTGTGTACATATTTGGCTACGGTGCGGTGATTCTTGTCGAATGATAAGAGGAGACCGTGCGGGATGGTCGTACTTTGCGTGTAATGATAATGTTACCTATGACGCTGCCTTGATATATCCCTGCTCCCAAGCCTCATCTATTATCGGCGAGTTTCCTCAACTGCCACCGTTTCCACTTTCTTCCATCATTTGAACGACCGCACACCAAGTCCTGTCTTTTCATTACTATTGCTAGTGTTATTTCCTAGATAATCCTCTCATACTCATAAATTGAATTGGCGATATCAGAGCCGGATCCCCTACTTCGCTCACCTCATCCTGCCTGATCGTCTTGTTTCACCACTTAACCGTATTTTGGGTTCCAGCTTTCGACACTCGAGCCCTTCATTCTCGATCAATACTATCAGTCCTTCCTGTCGCATCGGCTTACTCACCTCTATACCATAATCCAGTTGAGTAAGAACCCTCGCTGCCGGTCAGTGAGCGTTGACCGTCCCCTTCCGACCACCACGGCAGTGTCGTCATCGCCCGCTGCCCTTGCTACACTATCCTGCTTGGCCGGGTCAATTCGACCGCGTACGCAGGAATGGATTTCCATCTCGTCCCTCGCGGAACAGACAGGAATTACACCGGATTCTTGACAAAAACCATCGTCTACAGCAGCACCTTAGTTTTATTTCTTGCTGGTACCTTTTGATCTCATGCATTACGCTGGCGACTGGTCAGAGGCTAACATTCCACAGCATTCGGCCTGACGATCTCATCCATCGTCGTCCCGAAATGGGTCAGCTATCATAGCGAAAAGGTGGGCATACAATCTCGCGGGTTTGAAAGACAGGCTGGATTGAACTAACTTGACTGGCTAGTTCCACTACTCCTACGGCCTCCACCGTCGCTGCTCCTCACTCACCAACGTCTGCGAGAGTTTCCCCCAGCGCGAAGACTGCCATGGCGAAGACCGGTACTTTTGCTCCATGTGGCGCACCGTCGGGTTCCTGATGTCGTTTGCCGTGGTGCTGGAGGGGATGAGCGTGGTTTCGTATCTGATTGTCCTGTCGGGCGGGAAACGGCTGCGCGAGTCGGGGTGGAAGGTGTTGAGTCTGCTGATTATCCTGTCTGCGCTTGTGCAGGCGGCGAGTATGTCGATTGTCGTAAGTCCTTATCTCAAAAATTCTCGTTCGTTCCGTAATTGACACGGGCACGACAGGCATACTTGTTTGACAATGAGGACCGCTTCTTTGTCGGCTGGCGGCTGGGTGAGTCCTGGATCTATTGCACCGTCAGCTGGTGTGTGAGTCTTTTCTGCGCGGTGGCCATGATACTTGCGGCGAATAGTCTTCCATCAGAAGGGGGCTATGAGTTGATTCCGGATCATTCGTGACCGTGAAGGTTGGGTTTTACTGATTTAGCAGCACACCGTTCGGCAAGTTATCATTTACTTTTTTATGTTATGGTCGGCTAAATTCTGTTTCTGATACTTTACGGCGTTGTGTATGTACCGGCCTACAGGCGTCACGATTAATGCTAATGAAGAACGCATCCCATTTACCTGGATCATCTTTGTACCTTTTGCACCGCTCCCTTCCTACTCACCCTCGACGACTTCTTCCTTGTGCCCTCCCCATCCTCACTAGCCTGCTCTAAAACCCACGCCCGAAACGTCGGCAGAATCTCAATATCCGGAAACAACACCTGCTCTTTACTTTTGCCCTTTGTGTTTTGCATCTGGCGACGCTGATGCTGCTCCGTCAAATCCGCACGGACCCGCTCAACAATCGCCCGGATCTCAGCAAACGACTTCCCAGGCCCTGTCTCGGCGCGCAACCACTCGGGAACAGGACACGCTTTGATCCGCGGCTTGCGTCTCTGTTTTCTTTTCCTTCCATCGTCTGGTGACTCCTCTTCCTCCTCCTCAGCTCCATACTCCCCATCATCCCCAGAAGCACACGCAGAAACAGAAACAGAAGTAGAAACAGAGCGCCTCCCCTTCCTCAGCCTCACCCCCTCCACCCCGTCTTTAGCGGCGGACTGCTGCGAAGAGGAGGAAGAGGAAATCCTCTCAGCCTCCCTCCTCCTCAATACCACCTCAAAGCTCTCCACCCCGCCCCAAGCCTCCATCCTCGCCAGACTATCAAGCAGCAGATCGCACTGCGTGAACGGCCATGCGCGCGCCCGGTACCGCGCCCGCTGGTAATGCTTGCGGCAGTAGTGGACCCATACGTGGGACGGGAAGAGCTTCGTGGCGGTCTTGTTGCGGCCGAAGACGTGGGAGATTAGTTTGCGGGGGTGGGTCCCGCCGGAGGCGCTGCCTGAGGGAGAGGTGGAGGTTGTGCAGGGGTGGGTGAATTCGCAGGGGGGTTCCTTTTCTGTTTCTTTTTCTTGCCTTGGTGGAGTGGGATGGGGGGATGGTTTGGATGGTTTGGGTTTGGGTTTTGGTTTGGGGGCCATGGTTGGTGGATGCGTTGGCGATGGGAAGAGGAGGGCTGGAGGATGGGATATGTTATATATGTTGTTAGAGGCGTTTTCTATCCCATTGTTGTAGACATTATAGATGAAGATGTCTCAGATGAACATGTGATAAAGAATTGTTTGATCATGTATTCAGAAGCTACAAGCAGGTAGGTCATGGGCACAAGACGCGACTCCAACATTTGTAAATCAACCAACGCCATTATTGTTGCAATTTGTCCATATGCTCTGCAATTTGTCCATATGCTCTGCAATTTGTCCGTATGCTCGCAATTTATCCGTTGCTCTCGTAAATATCATAATCACATAGCGTAGCCGGTCGTTATCGTCTTGGGAACGTATTTTCGCGGCGCTCGGACAACGCTACATCCCACAGACCCCAGGTCAATGCTGTTCAGCTCCCGACTGAGGGCATCCATGCCCGTAGCGCCGCCCATCACGGGGTAGCTTGGCCCCGCTGGAGGTGCAATAGGTACTTTGGCCGGGATGGGTGGCCCGACATTGACGGGCGCGTACAGGCTAGAGACAGAGTGCGAGGAGCGCGCACTCGGCGCTGGCGAGACAGACTTTCGGTGCGAAGATCGCGGCCGTGCCGTGTCAGTCGTGCTATAGTTTCGCCCATGTCCATAGCCTCCGTACTCCTGGCGACCACGCTCCGGGTACTCCGCACCAGGCGATGTCCCGGATGTCCCACTGGACCGGGGACGGGCTCCCGCAACGTCCCTGGCGGAAGGATGCTTGAAGCGGAGAATCACCTCGGGCTTTCTGTTCTTGCGTTCCGGCTCTGGCGCCCACGTCTCAGAAGGAAGATGATCCGAGGGATCAATCTCGCGGCCATCGTCACCGATGATCGGCCCTGAGGTATCGGGCTTCATCTCATTGAGTCGGGCCGTCTGCATTGCCTGCGCGACTGTCTCGTACGCCGGTGCTGTGTCGCGGGTGACGGCAGACCGTGCCGCGTTTGGATTCAACGCATCGTACGAGTCTGGTGAGAAGGGGGTCTGGGACACCTGGCGTTCCGCCGTGGATGGTGGTCGCGGACTGACCGACTTGCGCCGAGGGACGATGCGAGATTCGGAACTGACAGATTTCCTAAGAACCAAGGAGCTACGGTAATCGGTGTCGTCAGGGTAGGGTATTGAAGCAGGCTTCGATCCGGTAGTCCGGATCATGGCATCTTCTTCAAAGAAGCTGCGCCGCCGGTTCGCTTGGCTTTCCTGTACAGCACGGACAGCCTCCACCTCGGCCAAGGCCGGGTCAAAGCCGGCGACCAGGCTGCGCGGCACCGATGGATTCTTCATACGAGGGTGGTCCTGTAGGCGGTTCCCGTGCGACGGGCGGAGCGGCTGGAGCGCGGTCATATCGTTGGTATTGCGGGGGGACGGTGCAAACTCTGGAGAGTAAGCCTTGTACGAGGAAGCTGGTGACGGTACTAACTGTTGACTCGGCTGGACCAGGCCTGACCGATGCGCTGGGGGCGGAGGTGGAGGTCCCTCCTCTTCTTCGTCGTCCACGCGGGGCTGCATGGCTGCATAGTCCGGGTGGAAGTTGTCATGTGCAATGGAATTGCGATGCCGGCTGTTGATGCTCGCTACCGAGTTGCTGTGCAGACGGTAGTGATGTTCCGGTTCCGGAGCCGGAGCCGGCGCGTAATCCACGGGGGAGTGATTATACGATCTCGTAGATGAATGAGGGGAGTATTGCGCAACTTCGTGTCCATGACGTAGAGCGTCTCCCTCATATCCGTACTGTTCTGGCGCAGGGAATTGGCGGTTGCTGTGATGGCTGGTGGGGCGCGAAGTTGATTCGTATGCATGTCTTGGGTGCATGTCCGGCCCTGGTTGGGACTGGTACTCTGGTCGGCTTGGTGGCATGGAGCGGTAATCCGGAGCCGGTCCATTGCCATAGCTGGAACGCGGCCGTGCATGATGCCGACTGTCATAGGCATCGGGTCTCTCACGGTACGGATAGCTCTCTTCCTGTGGAGATCGCCTTAGAGGTGGTGGTGCGGGATGGGCGGGCGCCGCGTGATTCCACTCTCGATGAAAGTCGTCAGGCGTGTCATACACCTTTGCTGGGGGCGGAGGCTGCGATGCGGATGCGTATGCATCGTACGGAGCCTCAGGTGCTTGTCTTTGTGAATAGCGCATGTGATCGGCGCCATTCAGGGCAGGCGTGGAATGAGCATGTTCGTGATGAACGGGTCTCACTGGAGCAGGATGAGACGGCAAAGGCGCCGAGGGAGCCTTTTCGGGGGGCCCCGGACGCGCGGGAGTCGAGGCGGTAGGGTCACTAGGAAGCGGCCGTCTCTTGACCTTCTCAAGCTGGCGAGGGCCCGACAGAGAAGACGAGGAGCTGACAGGAGCGGCCGGGGCCGGTCTCGAACCACTGCTCTTGGTATGGACCTTCTCGGCGGCTTGCATTCGCCGTTCAATCACCGCCTCGTCTTCTGGCCTGGTATCGTAGTAAGTCATCTCGATGCGAACTTCACCGGCATACTTTCCTCGGTACTGCAGTGGATGCCATTGGTCGCTCTGACTTCCTCCGGGGATGATCAAGTCTCTCAGATCGATCCAGGTTTCGCCGATCAGGTCGGTCTTTTTGTCATCGTTGAATATCGATACCTTGAGTCGGAAGTAGTCGGGCGATTCGTGCACTGTGAATCGGAGCTCATGGTCCCTGAATCCAGATTAGCTTTGGCTCGACCGCTCAAGGGAAAACGGGGCGATACCATTTCGGCGTCTGGCCTCCTCGCAGGTCAGTCTCTGTTTTCTTAGCTTCCTTCCCTAACCGCGCAGCACAGTATGGGTTCTGTTTTCCCATCGTCTTTCTATTCGGCAGATTCTTCGCGCGGTCGATGACGGCGACCAGCGTGCCGATTGCGGGACCATCCACAGACATGTCAGCGTAGATGCCGGCCGCATGGTTGATATTGGTTATCCTGGGTAGTTTCGACGCCATGATGGCACCTTTCTCTCTGCAAGAGAGTTCACTCCAAGGACAGGATTGAATGGGATTTAGAAAAGCTATGTGACCATCAATTGACGGAAAGAGTGTGTAGTGTCCTCTGACTGAGGGGCTTAGTGGAGGTCAAGAATATTGATCAATCGGAAGTAAAGATCGTAGACCAATGCAGGTTGGGAAATAAGAAAAAAAGAAAGAAAGAAGCCAAGCGAGAAGCGGATGATAAACGAGCTAAGTCACCTCTCGCTTGACTTGCGAATGATGCAGGGGAGAAAAGAGGAAAGATGAAGAAGAGCTGAGAGGGGAGGAGGACGAGGAGGAGGACGGTGGGCAACCAAAACAAGGCGATAAGCAAAAAGCGGGCGAGATCGCGATAACCCATACGTCGTAATCTGGTGGTCGATGTCTGTGATTGGCTGAGTGGATGTAGTGGGAGGCTGGGAGGGGGCTGGTAGTAATCTATTCGGAAGGTATGATTGGCGGACGGAACCTGTTCCTGCATGAAATCCGGATCTGAATACAGCCTTACGGTATTTTAGCCCTGTCTCCAACTCCCAGCCACAATCGACACTGACCTGTCTCACTCCAGTCAGCTCGTCCTGACCACCTCGAACAGACGAAGCCTATTCTCTGTAATAAGGAATTTATATCCGTAGCAGACTATGATTATCATTCAATGATTCTGACTCGGGATTGCATGGAGTGCAGAGAGAGGGAGATTGTTCCAGATGCTGACGATCATCGGCCAGACTGAGACAGCAATAATACCTAATACCTGACTGTTCCCAAGTCCCACATGAGTTCTCCACAATGATCGCCTTGCAGCCTTGGGCACATAAATCTCTTAATCTAGACAACAACAGTCCTAACCACAAAGCTATTGTTACTCGGCCAGACTCTCAGTCTCTCTTGTTATACAGAGCTCATAAACGAGAAGATCAAAGATACGAGTCCAGCCCGGTCATCTTCCGAATACCCTCATATGTCAATATCGCAAGCTGACGGACGCAATTAGAACCAGAATCTTGCTGCCTGTCTCCAACTCCATCCCACAGCCACAACACAGTGGATGCAACTCGGCACGTTAAGCACAGAAATTATATTGCCTGATCAGTGTCTGCTCCGCTATCCTTAAACATGCGGGGCCGGTTGGGTAGGAGTCAGCTTGAATCGAGCCTTGTTCTCCATCGGGCCATGCTTGGCCGTTGCGTCACTTGTTTTGCAGAGTCTACATAGTGCTTAGGTCTGACTCGTCGTATGGACTACGCCATGAAAAGATATCGAGTAAGAGGTGTAGTCTTGACCGGAAGCGTCATCGAAATTTGTAGAGATGAGGTAGGTCAATTCTGGAGCCATCCATTTCTAATTGCTATTTTGGGACTGAAAAGTCTCTCCTGTCGACTATGAACGCCTCCTGGTTGACCGTGTTGGAGTATGTGTGGAATGCTATGTGCCGTGCTTAATCCGCATGGACAGGGGAGCATGCCTTGTTCCTTTATGTAAGGGATATGTCAAATGCACTGTGCAGGGAGCACAACAGACCCTACGGGAATTAATCTTAACCGTACCTCCTGCTACGAGATCGTGGACAAGTAATCTGTCAACTGGGATGCTGCTACTTTGCACTTTAACCATGTGAAATAGGGTGATAAGAATATAAACTAAGTTAAACTGAAGAGTATCAAGAATTTAGGCAGATAATTAAACCGTCAGAACATGTGCACTGCCCCTGAAACAAGTACGTATATCACTTGCTTCTTTTGACATCCCGCTGTGCCACAGCCAATGTGGATATAATTGCTTTTTCTTCACCGATCTATGGGTATTTCAGTGAATAGTTTTGAGCAATGGCTTTTTCTGGGTTTATTATCAAGTTCATAGACTCTGCATGCCCCTTGTGCTTCTTGGTGGCTTCCCAAAGCCGGGGCTCATGATTTCCATCATGAAACGATCAACTGCAGTTCTGGGACGATGAGATTGATGGATTGACTGCACAATTGCCTCGGAAAAAATAATGATGGAACTGAAGCCGTGGTGGTAAATAGAATCAGCTTAGAGTAATAGCACTACGCTTGCTTGTACTGATAGGTCATACAGTCACCAGCAAATAATAGCAAGACAGGGCACTCAGAAAGGAAAAGAGAAGCGGCAAGGCACAAACGCCTGGCGGAAATGAGACAGAGGAGCTGGCCATAACCTGCGAACTAGCTGTAGCTAAATCGCTGCTCCTTCTGGTGATCCCTTTCATTCTTTTCATTCTCTGCCATCTCAGCAACACCATAAACGGCTCCCAGGCCCCAAACTCCGGCCATGTCGCATCCACGATCTGAATCTGAGTATCCTCGTGGCACTGCCAGAGCAGAAAGTCGCTCAGTCGATACACCCCCGACGATCGGACCACGAGATCCACAGGCGGATTATCTGCCGTGTCCATCTTGTCCGAGAGCGATTGCGCCGTGATGACTGTTTGAGGATACTCCTCCACGCACCGTCGCATGGCTCTTGTCATCTCGTCGCGCGACGTGTACGCCACACATAAGTTCAATATGACTTTCCCTTTCCGAGTCGCCTCAACCGCCTTCTCGATTGCATCCCGAGTCTGTTCGTCCAACATCTCTAAGCGGCCCAACACCCGAATCGAAAGGGCGAACTGCTCCACCAATCCGCCGGGAGCAGAATATATGGCGATTTGCTCTCGGAATAGAGCCATGATCGTCTCGACTTGCTCTCTCGGCCGCTGGAAGTTTTCGATGCTGAACGCATATAGCGTGATTACCTTGATCCCGGCGACACAGCAGGCTTCCAGGACCTTCAGCCGTCAGTCAGTCAGTCCGGTTCTTCCACCGTAGATCTAGGTATCGGTTCCTGCACGTTACGTTTTTCAAGGCTGCCGCCCCGAGTTCATGACCTTGCCCAATTGGCATACCGTGCGCTCGCGCGAATCGCCGATTCCCGTCCATGATGAATGCGATGTGTTGGGGGATCGGACCTTGTCGGGCAATGTTCATCAATAGGCCTCGAGTCCAGTTCGAGTTCAGCGCCTTCTTCATCATGGGTGTCATATACATCGTTGCGGCAGAGCAGTTTTCTGGCACTCTTGCTGCTTGAAAGGACTGAAAACGCTAGAAATTGTGCTGGTGTGTTTAGAATAAAAGCCACTGCGGAGGAAGCAGATTATTGTGCCTCTGCTCTCTACAAGTATGCTAGTATGGTAATGCTATTCTACAGGTCAACTGGAATACAGAAACCAGAAAAAGCAATATGAAGCCATCCCGTCCCCTGAGTCTCCGAATTAGACCTGTCCAATGCAGACGCGTCAGGAGCAGACTTTTTGACCATAGGTGCACTATCCTTTTCACTCCGCAGCTAGACACGCTTGTCTGCAGGTTGGACATCTTTTTAGCTCGGTGGAAAAACCACAGGTCTTCACCTTAATAGCTCCAGGTGGCGCCTGACTCGGAGCTAGAGCATGATCCTCTATTTATTGACGATCATCATGATCGTCCTGTCACACCACTTATGCAGCCATAATCCATCTACTCCGTCCTATGTACATTCAGCACTCTCCAGAGTCAAAGCTGTGATCAGCGCTTCTGAATCCCCCTCGTTTTGAGACCACCTCATACTACTGGAATCTAGATCGCTGGATGGACAGAAATTGTCGCTCATCACACTGAGTTGTTCAACCAACGATGTCTATTCAAATAGTCCTGTGCACTAATTACATAGCTGCAAAATTAAATTATGTAGCGAGGAATCCGAATATCCACAATTCCGACGACATTCTGCAAGCCTTCAGCCTCACTAGCATCTTGACGAACCCGACCAACTTAATTGTTCTCGCAGTTTTCGGCAAATTTCCGGAAATAGGTCGGGACCTTCTCCTCCCACAAGGCCGGGTTCGAGAAGAAGTCATACTGGGTTTGACAGTTCGTCGTCAGAACGGGCCAGAGGCTCAAGGCGTTGTTCAGGAAGACCTTCCACGCGCTGTCCTTTACACACTTCGCCAGGGATTGCAGCTCGGACGCATTCATGGTGCACAGGTCGCGCTCTCCGGCTTTGCATTGCGTCCGGGCCAGGTCGGCAATGCTGTCAACCCCGCTGATGTAGTTGTTGTTCAAATGCTGAGTGCCCATGTTGGGGGATTCGGCTTCAATCACGGAAGTGCCGAAGTTGCGCAGTTTGGGCTCGTACTCGGATAGCTTGACTTTGCAGCCTTTGCTGCAGATCTCCTGCTGGGCGTGGCCGAGGAATCTCTCGACGTCGACGCCTTGGATGACGGATTGGAGGTTCCAGCAGGCCGTGGAGGGGAGGCTGGCGGCTGATGCGAGGCCAGCGCTCATGGTGAGGGTGACGAGGGCGGGGACGAAGAAACGCATGATGATGATAATGGTCTGGCAACTTTTGCAATGCAAATGCAGAATGTGTTGATGGGGATGGAGATGCACTGCTGCGGTGGTCCACGGGGGAAGGGAGGATGTATTTATATTTGCTCTCTAGAAGCTAGGAAGGTCTATTAATCTTCACATCGATTCCAAGTTGGGAGCAAATAGCACCACCATCAAGGTGCGCAAGCCACATAGTGACATGTACCGGCTCTCACATAGATCGACATCTACTATTGAAGGCAAACGACGCTTTGATGGGAGAATAACAGACATATGCGCCGTATGCCACATTTATTAAACTGGTGTCTTTCGAACCAGATAGATCAGCTGAGTCTAGCAATAATTGCTTTTTATTTCCTGAGCTGGCTCATTGTCCGTGCAAGCCACATTGTGGAGTATTGACTGTGCTCGTCTTACTGCTGTGGCAGTTCGGGAGTTCAACTATGTGTAGAATGCAGCTACTCGGCGGGAAGCACCACCTTTAAGAAGTTTGACTCACTAGCTCTGTAATCCACCTTTAAGCTTCCTTGGATGGCATCTGAATAGAGTCAGTCTGCTCGTGTCCTAAATCGTTGCGCTGAATCGTTCATTTTCTAGCAAGTGGTCTGGAGCTATAGATCTTCGTGTAGGGTCTCCATTCGTCACCTTGTCACCAGAATATGAGTAGGCAGTATCCACTTGGTTCGAAGCTTCAAAGAATTAAGAGTCTTCCAATACTTGTGTTTATCCGTAGAGATGGCATTAGGCCTGTGTTATTGAAATTAGGGCTCGGTTGATGCCTCAGGCAGAAACAGAATATAAAATACCGGAGATGTATTGATACGCCGTCCAATACACAATGAATACGGATAAAATACTAGTGGTATCTGCCAATCAGCGTTGCGATAGAACTTTTTTTGATGTGATAAAAAACTTCAAGATCATCACCAGCTTTCAACCACCACAGCTTTACCACCCCGCACCAGTCGCTAACGAACGAGGATTCTCAACTCCACTTGATAACCCGATATTGACTCCGATCGATAATCGATTAATTAGACAACGGAAGCAGCCATGGCTGCCCCCGTCCTCCCCCTGCAGCAGGTCAAGCTGCCTGCACTGCCGTCGACCCGCTTGACGCCCGAGCAGCAATACTGGAAGACTTTCAAGAATCCGCTCCTCATCCCCTCTCCCGCCAACGGTCCCATCAATCTCATCACGCAGCCCGGCGCCCCCTCGTCCGCCTCTGCCTTCCCGTCCCTCACACAGCCGCCCGACGTCTTCACCGTGACGACCGGCGCCCGCGTGCAGATCTACTCCATCCGCACCCGCAAACTCCTCCGCACAATCACTCGCTTCGACGATACCGTGCGCGGCACCGACGTGCGGCCCGACGGCCGGGTGGTGGTGGCAGGTGACGACACGGGCACGGTGCAGGTCTTCGACGTCGCGTCGCGGGCGATCCTGAAGACGTGGAAGGACCACCGGCAGCCGGTGTGGGTGACCAAGTTCTCACCGAGCGATCCGACCTCGGTGCTGAGCGCCAGCGACGACCGGACGGTGCGGCTGTGGGATCTGCCGAGCGAGAGCAGCGCACGGACCTTCCTTGGGCATACGGACTATGTGCGCACGGGGGCGTACATGCCAGGCTCGCTGGCGGCGTCTGGGCTGGTGGTGTCGGGGAGTTACGACCGGACGGTGCGGCTGTGGGATCCGCGGGTGGAGAACCGGGCGGCGATGACGTTCAAGATGGCGGCGCCGATTGAGAGCGTGTTGCCCATGCCGACGGGGACGACGCTGCTGGCCTCGGCGGAGAACAAGATTGCCGTGCTGGATATCGTGGCGGGGAAGCCGCTGCATATGATCCAGAGCCACCAGAAGACGGTGACGGCGCTGGCGTTGGCGTCGAACGGGGAGAGGCTGCTCAGTGGTGCGTTGGACGGGCACATGAAGGTGTTTGAGACGACCGGGTGGAACGTTGTTTCGGGCTCCAAGTTCCCGTCTCCGATCCTGTCGCTGCGCGTGATTACATCTGGTGTCGCGCGGGAGGACAAGCACATCGCCGTCGGCATGCAGTCGGGACTGTTATCGATCAAGACCCGGCTGTCGGGCCAGCAGAAGATCCGGGAGCGCGAACGACGCAAGGAGATGCAGGCGTTGCTGGAGGGCAAGCTGGAGGAGCACGACCGGAAGGTTGCGAAGCAGCAGAAGCAGCGCGGATCGGGCTGGGAGAAGCGGCTGCGCGGACAGGATTTCATCGGCGAAGGCGTGGACATCGTGATCGAAGGGCAGGACAAGAAGAAGCGCAAGAAGGAGCAGACGTGGGAGTACGACCTGCGCAAGGCGCGGTACTCGGCGGCGCTGGATCAGGTGCTGGCGTCGAGCGACAAGACGGCGCAGCTGACGCTGTTCACGGCGCTGCGGCACCGCTCCGCGCTGCGGGCCGCGTTGCAGGGCCGCGACGAGGAGACGCTGCAGCCGGTGCTGCAGTGGGTGCACAAGAACATTACGGAGCCGCGGCTGGTGACGCTGTGCGTGGAGGTCGCCATGAACGTGCTGGACATCTACTCAGGGAACCTGGGACAGTCGGCGCAGATCGACAAGATGGTGGACCGGCTGCATCGGCGGGTGCGCGAGGAGGTGGAAATGGCGCACCAGGCGTGTCAGACCAAGGGGATGCTGGATATGTTACAGGCAGTTTAGCAGCACTTTCTTCACCGAAGGTCAAAAAGCAGGACGGCAAAAAGCATGTTAGATCTACTAGACTTGTTACATTACGGATACCTGGATGGAGTTGGGTGAATGCATCTTTCTTTTATTTTCATCTTTCTTAAACCTGTCTCCTACTCAATATGATATCCGCCGCCCGCTCGGCCATCGCATACAACGTCGCCGTGAGATGCCCACTGACCTGCAGCGGAATCACCGACGCATCGACGACCCTGACGTTCTCCGTACCGTAGACCTTCAGCCGCGAATCGACGACGCCCCCCAGCTCCCGAGCCATCATACTCGCGGTCCCGATGGGGTGGTAATTCGGCCCAACTAATCAATCAGTATTGCACTGTTCTTTCGCTGGTTGCATTGCAAACTCACAAGCCTTTTCAATAAACGCCGTCCATTCTGTATCCGTTGCATTACCCTCCAATGCCCTGCCAGGAATGGGAACTGGGCGCAAACTCTTCGCGGGTGCCTGTTCCCAGAATGACTGCGCCAGCTTCCCTATTGCTATCTCGGTCTGGAGATCAAAGTCCACCTGGAAGAAATTCGGGTCGATGCTCGGGGCGTCGATGTCTTTGTCATCTGTGGACGAGAGGTGTACGCTACCCCGGGAGAAAGGGAGGAGGAGCCAGAAGGCCGAGAGGAGGGTGGTTCCGGAGGCGCTGGTGAGGATTTCTGCGATGGTGACGTTGGACTTGAAGATGAGGGCGTGCTGGAGGGTTAGGATGTGTCTTATCGCGCTGCTGTTGAGGTTGTTGGACGAGGATGAGGCGAGGGATTCAGCCCAAGCTGGGATGGAGGAGAGCGTCGCTCTGTTAATGTCAGCGTGTGTTTGAACGTTAGAAGACAACATACGCAGCTATAGACTCGACGTGCTCGCCAAAGAGCTGCGACGCCGTTACAAACGTGGCATACGGCGCGGTTCCCGAGACGTTGAGACTGCCCGTGTACAGCAGCGGCACATTCGGCTGGTCCTGCAGGTTCTCTCCCACCCCAGGGAGGTCGATTCGCGCCTCTATCCCGAGTCCCCTAAGCCAATCCTTGTCGCCAACACCCGATGCTTCGAGGATGGGAGGCGTCCGCAGCGCCCCAGCTGACAGTATCACTTCTCTGCGGGTCATTGCAGTCTGCATTTGTCCCTGCTCGTCCAGATACTCGACTCCCACCGCCACAAGCCCTCCTCCTCCTAGACTGTTCCCGTCCCCCCAAAGGATTCTTCTGACTGTCCCCCTAACAACCATCAGATTCTCCCTCCCATCAACAGGATAATAAAACGCTTTAGCGGAACTACACCGTACATCCTCCTTACAATCAATCGTCTGCGGCCACACCGAAACCCCTCCAAGCGACCCCCCATTTGGATCTTTGTTCCATCTCACCCCTAAAGCCGCCCACGCATCCCTCACCCTGTCCCAGAATCCTGTCGTTGACAACTGCATCGTGAAACAAACATCCACACTCCCCTTTTTCCCATGAAAAGCAGACACATCATCCGCGCCAGCATCCACCTGCCAGGCCAGCGGCGGACTAAACCTTTCCGTCTGTAGATAATACGGCCCCAGAGCATCCCAATTCCAGCCGTTAGCACCCAGCGCCTCCCACGCATCGATCTCCGGCCTGTCGGCGCGCAGGTACGTCATCCCGTTGATCATGCTCGTGCCGCCTAGGATGCGCCCTGCGGTGTAGGAGAGGGTGCGGTTGAGGGCGTGGGACTGGGGAGTGGAGGGGTAGGCCCAGTCTATCTCTGTGTGTGCGTTGCGGAGCCATTGCGTCGGATTGGTGACGTTGGGGTTGGTGCGGGTGTCTTTGCCGGGGTCCAGGACGAGGACGGTGGTGGTGGGAGTTGAGGAGAGGCGGTTGGCGAGGAGGAGGCCGGTTGTGCCGCCGCCGATGATGATGTAGTCTGCTTCAGCTGTGGCTGTCGCTGTGGCTGTCGATGTGGAGATGATGAAGAAGAAGCTGCTGGACAGAAAGAGATGCTGGAGTTTCATGGTGATGGTGATGGTATTACCCCGTACGGGAGAGATGAGGATGGACTGGGATGGGGATTCCCCGCATCGACGGCTGCTGCTACTTGTATATAAGGTAACATCTGTGAGAATAGTTTAGGCCGTGTGGAGTAATTGATTGACATGTAAGGCTTACTATGTAGTAGCATATGCATGACTCTGGATTTTCCACCACTAGCTTTTAGTTAGGGTGTAAGCATTGCTTATGCATCAGCCCTAGTCTTGTATGTAGCCAGCTTACTGGATTACTCGTGCACGCATTGCAGTGAGTCCATCCTTATTCTACATAATGTATCAGCTAGTGCGGCAGAAGGCGAGCCAGAAAAGACATGCCTATATATTCGCTCTCATACCGGGGAGGCAAAATCCGGCCCATTTACTAAGGCCAGTCCTTCATCGAAGCCATACGCCCCTTTGCTGTGGATGCACACCTGGTCGGACAGGGCAACCTCAGTCGTTCCACGCTCACCATATCCAGCAAAACTGCACACTCAGGCGTTGTAGTTGTTGTAGCCCCGCTGGCAGGATGTGCTCGATACCTTGAGGCCGTCGAGGTACCCCAAAACTGTAATTTCTCCCTTCCATCGGTTCGTTCTATACTATCTCTAGATCGACCGGCGCCGCCGCAGGAACGATAATGACAGGATCATTCCCAGGCTCCCGTACAGTCCAGCTTCCCGTAGCTGGGATTGTGACAGTAGTAGCTAGATGATCCTCCCGAGTTCCCCAAACCCACCAGTCGAGCTTGGTTCCCTTGAAGAGACACCGTATGACCTCGCCAACTTGGGCCTCCCCGCCATCGCTGCTCTCGATGTCCGTGAGCAATTCATACCGAACGGTGTGAGACCACGTTTCTCCCGGATGCAGACAAGCAAAGCCCTCATGGCGGCCTGGAGAGACTTGAATATCAGGATCATCGCAAAATGTATTGCCGCCACTGCAACTGAATCCTTCCATATCTACCCACCGATCCCGCCACACCCAGAGGCGTGTTTTCAGTCCCGCAGTATTGAAAGTGACTGGTCTACCACCGCCGCCACTTATTGGTTCGTACGTGACATGGAGCGTCGCAGTCACACGATCATCCTGTAAAGCGACCTGGTCCTGTGGATGGCATTCTATCCTTGCGATCAGAACAGGACAGGATTCCTCCGCTCTGATGAGATGGTGGAATGAATGTTAGCGTGTATTCAAGAGAGGTTCACCGGCACGCGGCATACCGGGATAACGCGGATCGGTTCGACGCGGACCGATGGGTGACCGAGGGAGTCGGGAATCGGCACCGGAGCGTGTATGTGCCTTTTGCGGCGGGGGCGCGTGGCTGCATAGGGTTCAACGTGGCTTTGCAGGAAGTGAAGGTTGCGTTGGCTGAGCTGGTCTATCGGTACGATTTTGTGAATGCGACGGACGAGGCCATCGAGTATGATCCGGACTTCATTGTGATACGGCCGTTGAACTTCTACGTCAGGGCCATTCGGCGGTCTAGCTGGCCGGCAAGATCTAGTGCTTAAAATGTTGTAATATACATACAATCATAGTTATCTCTTGAACCCTCCTCATGCAGCGGCCGTAGCGGCAATGAACAGCCGCTCCCATTTCATACCGAATGTCGCGAGCAGAGTGATCGCACCAGCCACAATGCAGAGGATATAAGTCCGATCAATGGCCGTAACGATCGCAGAGAGAACTTTGCTCTTGGTGGCCGGGTCCAAGTCCTGTACGAAGGTCGAGCCAGTTCCGGAAATGGCATCAATGATGGTCGAACGGGCCTCGTGTGGGAGAACCCATGAGATTCCTAGAGTGTAAACCCATGAGTTCACAGCTCCGTAATGTGGAGGGAAAGAGTGACTTACGCTTCGCAGCCTCATTGACAAAGACGCACTGTGCTATGACCAAGGCAAAAGCCAATCCATTCAGCTGTGCAGTGGTGGTGAACGCAACGGCGGCCGGAACCTTTTCGGGCTTGACTTTCGCCTGCGCCACGGCATGACCCAGTTGGAGATACATTCCCGCTCCCAGACCGATCAGCGCACTATATCCGTAGGTCGCTCCCGCGCTGCTGTGAGGATGGATTGTGTACATCAGCGCGGAGCCCACCAGACACAAAACTCCTCCCATGATGTACCAGGGGATGTAGTACCCCAACCGGGAGGTGAGGAATCCGCCTCCGACGCAACTGAACACGAGCAGGCAGACAAACGGGAGTAGCCGGACGCCCGACTGGAGCGACTCGTCCGACGCAGTGAACTGGAAGTACAGGGGGATGATGTACGTGGGGACAGTCACGCAGACTCCCGTGCAGCAACCGCAGATAAAGAGAAGAGTCAGGAGCGGCTTGCGCCAGGAGACCAGTTCCACGGGGAAGAGGCGTGTTTCTTCGGTGGTGAAAATGCAGAAGGTTTGCTGGACTCCAAAGACAATGAACAACACTCCGCCGAGCACGAGCGCGACGATGATGCCTGGTGCGTCCCAGGGATACATGGCGCCGGCGAAGTTGACACCGATGACTCCCGCCGCTAAGGCACCCATGAGGATGAGCGTGCCCACAAGATCCATCCGCTTCAGCCGCTCGATAACAGGGGTCACCACGGGCTGCGGGTGCAGCGAAGGCAGCAAGAAGATGTACACCGGGGTGAACAGGCCGCCGACACAAAGATTGATGTAGAACGACCACCGCCAGCCCGCAGAACTATCGGTAAACGCGCCGCCGATTATGGGACCGAGGACGGTGCCCGCGCCCCAGGTCAGACCCATCGCACTGACGTACATCGGACGTTCTTGCATCGACGTCAAGCGAGGGAGGAAATTCATGACGCCGACGTACTGGCCCACGCCGCCCACGCCGCAGATCACACGGCCCCCGATGAGCATGTTCATCGACTGCGCCGCTCCGCAGATGGCGGAGCCGGCCATGAACACCGCAATGGAGAAAATATACATCCACTTGATGTTGAACTGGTTGAAGATCTGGAGCCAAGTAAGGACGGTCGCGCTGGAGGCCATCACGAATGCGACGCCGGACCAGGCCAGCTTGTCAACTCCGTTCAGCGATTTGATGATGGCAGGTTGGATGTTGGCGACGATGGTATTGTCGAGGGCAAAGAGGAACGTCGAGCTGTAGATGGCCAGAACGACCGTCACCCATAGGAAGCCGTGGACATTGCGCGGACTCGTTGAAATCTCCTTGCTCTGATCGCTTTCCGAACAGCTACTCTCTTGCTTTTCTGCGTCTTTTGCGGTGGCCGAGTTTGACGGCCGCGTCTCCGTCTCTGTGAGATCAGCCATTGTTGGAGAAAGTATGGCCTGGAGAAACACTGAACGATGTCCTAGTCTCGAGAGTAATGGATTGCACAGAATAGCTCGTTGCAGGAGGAAGAATCCTGACTTAACTTGAGATAAAGAAGCGACACACCGCGTCTCCAGACGTCAACTACGCTGACAAATGTCATGGAACGCTGAAGCTTGGATTAGAAATCACATTCAGACCAAGAAGATAGGGAGATTCAATGCAATCGACTGATTCCATTCTCAAGTGACGATGTTCGGGTGCTTGACGGGGGATTAGGGCTGGAGTTGGAATCGCCGAAAGGGGTAAAAAGGGTGCTTATATAGGAAGGCTGCTTAGAAGGAACAACACAGCAAGCATGAGATGGGATCCACCATTTCTTGGTTCCCCCCTTGATTTTATGGATTGACTACTTTGATGATTATTAAGGACATTTGTTTCCTGTCTCCTGCTCCTTTGTTCTCAGCAGCAAGAGAGACCAAAACGTCCCGATGAGTGCTGACTAAGAACCCCCCGAGATCGGGCTGTTTTCCTTGCCCTCAAATGTCTGTCTGGTGATGGTCACTCCACGAAGTCAGGTCATTCTCGACTTCCATTTTATTCAATTGATAGAACTCGGTCAACATGATCATAGACGAGGAATTCCTTCTCTTTGTCAAATTCTTCTCCCACTCTCTTGGTCACCTGAGAGCAGGTAGTGCTCCGAGACTGTACGACTGACCAGCTATCATGGTTGACAACTTGATTCGCAACCTGGAGATCACTCTCCTGATCCTGGAAGATGCATATTCTTCGCGCGAGGAGATGCCCTTCTGGGCCACCAAATTATTGACGCCGACTTTCATGGCCGTCGCCATCCTCACCACCATTCCTTCCCCAGGTTCCACGCGGGTCATCGTCGGAATGACAGCCTTCACCAGTCTATGGCTGTATGTGCTCACCCACTGGGTATCCGGTCCAGCTTTTTTCATGGATGCGATCTTCATGATCTCAATCACGGTGCGCTGGATGCTAATGTTCCTGACTGGAACTCCCGAAATCGACTACTACCAGAACAGCAAAACAGCGACGAAGCTTGGCAGCACCAGCGCGGACGGAGGAATCCTACACGGATCAGAGTTCCTGAATAAAGTCAAATGGAGCGTGGAGTTGTGGTCCTGTTGGCGCGGCCAGGGTTGGAATTTCGCTGACCAGCATCTCCGACGAGGCGCGGAGCAGACTCAATCTCGGTGGTATGTCTGTTTCCGGGAGTGTTTTTCAAAGTGCAGCTTCTGATAGAGCTTGGTAGGGATTTCTTGATTGCAAACGCAGGTAGAATCCTTCTGAACCAGTACATCTCCGACGTGGTGCGCAAGTACGCATTCTGCGCGTTCTGGCCGGCTCACCACGCAAACGTGGCAAGTGTGGATTTTCGCGCATTGCCCATACTACACCGACATCTACTCGTTGGGGCTCAATTGGTTCGAGACAGCCTCATGCTGGACAGCGAATATCGCAAGGCTTCCCTGCTCTTCGTCGGACTGTATCTGTCCACGCCGGATCGCTGGCCAGGCCTCTTCGGCAGCCCGGTCGACCTATTCACTGTTCGGAATTTCTGGGGGAGAGTCTGGCATCAGGTGTTCCGGCACATGTTCACAAGGGCTGGCGAGGTGGTGGCTAGAGCCCTGGGTGCGGAGAAAGGGACTCTGGTCTATAAGTATACGAAGCTGTACGTGGGATTCTTGGTATCCGGAGTCCAGCATTACGCGTGTCCACTGTTAATTCCATCTTTGCGCTATGGCTGGGGCATGTTTTGGCAGATGCCAGCGTACGCTGCCATAATTACCCTGGAGGATCTGATCAAACACTATGGCAGGAAAGCTGGGGTGCAAGATAACGGTGAGTTTTCTCCTGGTTGCGTCTCTTTTTGGTTATTTTCGACCATATTGCTAAGTGGCTCCCGCAACAGGTTTTGTCAGAGGCCTAGGATATATCTGGACGGCATACTGGATGACCTTGATTTACGCCCTACCTGTTGGTTATGTGTCGGACATTGGGGGGTTTGTAGGTGTGTGCGCAGCCTAAATCCTTTTCCAATGCCACGCAAGCATCGATAGCTATGTTCTGTGTAGTTTCACGAGAGTTTCCACATCCTCTAGTAAATGTACGTTAGAGTTGCCGAGTTTTAAACATTGTTGTGTCTCCTGGGGTTTGGAAACCGATATCGAGCAATCGAGGTGAATGAAGGGTCTAGTAAGGCCTACCATAAAAAGGCGCTTCAGACGGTTTACAGTTCGACGCTGTAGAGCACTCTGATCCTAGTCAATAAGCCAATGAGTCCAGTAGAGTTGAATATTGCTCTTCAAGTATTCGTAATGCTACGTAATGCCTGCGCTGGTTCCTTATCTCTGACGAAAACCAGCAGAAACTTTCTTCATGTAGCTGTACTAGGAATTGAGAAGACATGATACTCTGTATGTCCTACGATGAAAATCAATACTTAGAATTACCAACGCAATCATGGCTGATTAAGGATTATCTTGCTTCTGACCAGTTGACTAGCGGAGGGAATATAAACTCGAGAGCAGGCCTGGCCTTCATATTACGTATCTTCCTTACAGCCAGACATTCTCACCAGACCACCGAGCATGCGAAATAGTAGTAAAGTTACAAATAAAAACAATCCCTGACATAATACAAACGATATTCGCTTAGCCAAAAGTACGTCGTTGCTGATCCTCGGGGAGTAATATCTAGCCCTGCCAGGTAAAACAACCCGAGTCTTCCTTGTGACGCCGACATTGCATGCTTGCACCGGTGGACTGAGGCAATTTCTATTGTTCTATGTAGTAACTATCTGTGCCTGCTTGGTAAACAACATCTTGCTTAAAAACCGGACAGTATTTGTTGTCACGCAGCCAGCAACTGACCGGTATTCTGACCAAGGATTCAAATCAAGCATATTAACTGGCGTCCCCATGGCGAGGAATCCTGATTTAACGTCCTGGTTTCTGCTCTGCTTCTATCCTGCGATTTTCTTGTCGCTTGGATTTTGTTCAGTCTCCAAAACTATATAGTGAGACGCTATTGCTTCTCCGTGCCAGGATGACGCTCCTTCGCCTCCTCCACGGCTTGTCTGTTTGGCGATCACTCATTTCTGCTGGCTACTACGGCGGGCTAGCGTGGTTGGGATATCATTGTCTCTGGTCAGTCCCACTTCGCCATGCAACGGCGGCCATAATGGAAGTCAAGAGAACCAGCCGATTTGCAGACGGCACCCCGTTGCTCCGTCGGTTTACACCCTTCTCCAGTCTGGATAAAAAACTCGTGCCCGCTGTGATTTTCTATAATGGGCTATTGGATGGGTCGGACCCGGTGCACCGCTTGCTGCTGGTGGACATCCATTCGACGATGCAGGCCACTGCACTCTGTATGCTTGTCAGCAGCCGATCTTCTGCCTCATCTAGTCTATTCTTGATGTAAGCCTGCGGACTGTCTAACGAGTCTCTAGCCGGCTGACGAAGTTTGCGACCGCTACCACTGCCCACAGAGTCCCTACGACATGGAATATCTTCAATCAATTCTACGGTGCCGCCTTCGTCTATCCTCTCTACCTCCTGTTTGAGTCCGAGAGCCACGGTTTCGACACTCTAAGTCCGGTGGACAATTCCCGGGTCTCTGCAGCCTTGCTGGTCAGCGCCCTTCTGGGCTCACTCCTGCCTTTCACTTTCTTATTCCCCGCGTTTATCCCCTGCAGCGTCGCACGAAAACAGCGGGCGATCGCATTGTACCGTTTCGCCCCCATCGTCTTCACGTTACTGCAATGGCTGGGGGAGCACATCCCGCTTGAGACTCTCTTTACTGGTGTCCCCGACTCAGCACCTTATGTTGCGGCCGGCCTAAGCTATGCTAGTCTATACTGAAAATACCTAGGTAGTATCTAATCTTCTTTGTCTCCACGCTGCCCATCTTACATTCTCTATGACTGTCCAAACCACTGTCATCCACTGGCTGGGTGCTGGCTCGCTTACTATGAGGTATTTAGGTTAATTATGGGTAAGGAAATTTAGAGATATAGAAAACTAGACTAATTTAGATATTTTCTTTAATCAGGGATTTAAAAATGTATGTTAGGCCACTATATAGGGCATACTTATTCTTTACATAGTTCTACTAAACTTATAAAGAATAGGTAGGGTCCTTTAAAGATATTAGACTTTTTGAAAGATAGGTTAGCCTTATTATCTAATAGTAGCTAGTAGAAGCTGTTAAAAGCCTCTGCTCTATATATATTCTTAAGATTAAAATCTCCTAATGTTCTAATGAAAGGTCACTTTTAAATTATAATACCTGAGGGGTCTATAGCACGCCTAAGTAAGGTTACTGATAGCATTCCTTTTGTAATAGACTAATAAATAGGATGCAGGGTACTGCCAACGGCTAGGGAAGCAGTATAAACTCAAAGGTAATGTTAAAAATGGGTATAAAGAGTGAGGTATGATAGGAGGTATAAAGGGGTTTCAGCACTCAACCCCAGAAAAGGGACCCTTAGCATAGACATACCCTATAAAAGTGAGAATGTTCCGACAGTCTAATACCATTATCTAGATATTTATCAACTCTCGCTGTCTTATCCTTATTATTGCTAGTTTTATGTCTGCTGCTCCCACATCAAATATCAGCCCTTTAATATAAGGCTAGCTGTGCTTTTTTAGCTACTCCGTACACCTTTATATCCACAGCAGAGGTTCTAATACGCAGCTTATATAGTGGAGATTACATTACATGTTTATCCATAGTTTATTCAGACCAGGAACTGGCTGAATTAATTCTCAGCTTAAGTGATAACATCATCATCATTAACTCGGGCGTCCTCTTTTACCATGATAATATATTCCTGTATAGTGGATGCTCAAGCTGGCCCCGCAATAACATGCTATAAATTAGGTGCTGGCGCTGTCTGCCACCATAGTCCTATCTCAGACATGCCTCAGAAACCAACACTGTGGAGGCGCTTAGAGCACTAGTGTGATGTTATCATAGGAAAATGCTCAGTCACTAAGGACGCCAATAGCGTTGGCGCATGTGGTGATGGATGGCAAAGTAAAGAGGGCCAGAGTGGAATCTATTATGGCATATTTTGCACGAGGGAATGCCATGAGTATGAAACGAAGGACTATGAATAACAGCTATGTGAGTCCAGTAGGTGTGGGTGCAAGAAATTCCCAGCAAACAGAGGTTACTGCAGAGGGGCTTTGACTCAATGCCTGAGTCAAAATTTGCCTAGTTTCTCGATGATGAAAAGCATATGCAACGACAGGCTAATCGACGAAAATGGGCCTGTGAAATGTGATGGTTGCATTTTAGATCATAAGAAAGAGGGCATGGCCAAAGGTATGACGGTGTGTTTCTTGCACCTGCTGTCGTATTACAAGTATCTGGAGAAAGTGAAGGAGTGGGACGACAAGTTTTTAGAAGATATTACGGACGAGTTGCAATACCAATGACACAGGACAAACCAACTTCCTTGGTGAAGGCCATCCAGTCCGCATAACGGAACTGCCGCACGCTCTTTTCTTCATGCAATACGCCGATTTTGGTTGGGTAACCCAGGCCTAGAGCTGGGGCAGCTAGTATATCATCATCCCTAGTATACAAGAATGATAGCTTAACGGTCTATCTCATTCTATGATTGCATCCTTCTGGAATAGGGGCCATAGGTAATACAAGCAGATGACAGTAGGAAATTTGTTTTGGCTGTTTTGTACATTCATTCCGCCACAGGTTGTCTGTTGCATGTGGGCACGTCCACCACCTAGTTGGAAACAACTTTCCGTTTGTCTGTCTTGGCCGATTCAGGTCGTAAGCCTTCTGTGCGGTCTCCCTGAGGAACGGCTTGGCTTCCCACAGGGCAGCAGGACCCTGGGTATATACGCCAGCCTAGCCAGTTCCCGTTCCACACTTTGAGACGATAGCCTAAGCCGGCTAATTTAAGCAATAATATGCAGGCTATTCACTTACAACGGCTCTCTCTCTGGGGAGAAGGGCAGGGAGAACGAAATTATGCTTGCGCCACCATACCAGCCACCACCGCACCCACCAGCATCATCGGCGCTACTGTCCTGCTTGCAACATTCCCAGAGGCTTTTGTGCTCGTGGCAGAGGTACCTGCTACTGTCGCACCAGTAGTAGAACCCGTCGTTTTGTTCGTTGTAGCTGCCGTAGCAGTCGCAGCGGTGCCAGTTGGGAAATGACCCGTCCCCGCCACAGTCAAGGTAGCAGACAGTATTTCCCTAACCTCTGTTCCAGGAAGAACATATGTCCCATCACGAGTCACAGTGTGAGAGCGAATGTGATATGACTGGCTATACGAGCAAGTGGCGGTGGTGGGTGTGGGAGAGCCAGTAAAGGTGCACCCGGTGCTTGTATAGCTAGAACCATCAGCGCCGTAGCAGCATTATTTGCACGATAGGACTTACTCCCAATAGTTGCTCATGATGAAGCCGTAAGCTGCGTGATCTGGTCAGTCATGTCCGTTGACTGGGTACATCGAAGGCCTACAGCTGGGAGCAGCGATAAATGTCGCATCTGGATGAAACCTAATACAGGCTGTTTCGTCACTTGCTGGAGGGCAATTGATTGCGTACGTCACCGTGTCCCCGTTCTTGAGTGGTGATCAGAAATATGACAGTCCATGGCGCCAATAGACATACTTCACTTATCACGCGCCCCTCATAATCCTGCCAGTAGTTCCCAGAGTATGCAAAGCCCACCCATGGCATGGTCTGCTTGGTATGAGCATCATCAAATGCTGTTATGGAAGCTATGCGTGATGCACTTACTAGGACAAATTCCGCCAGACTGAGCTTGAAACAGGCCAGGGGGACTAATAATGACAGAGCGTACATGGACCGCATTCTGTGCAAGCTGACCTGGACATAAAGCTATCAGAGCTCCTTGAACAAAAATTTGGGAATGAGCATGATTTATGCTTACTCTCTGCTGACCATTTTTGCAGCATAGGTGGCCTAGCTTCTCTGAGCTAATGCCCAAGTCTAACCCACTAGCTTTTTCTTAGGTTGCATTCAACACAGTGGTAAAGCCAATTATACTAGTTTCTGGCCAGTAGTTTAGAACAAGACGAATCAAATCAAGCATAGAACATCTCGCCAAGCAAAGTCTTACCATAACTCCATCAGGACCAGCAAAAAGCGACGGCGAGGGGGTTTGTGGAATGGAGCAAGAAAACCATATTATATAGAAGCAATTAGCACTTGATCCATGTAGTTGTTTGATGCTGACAGAGGATAAATTGCACCAGGATGGTAAAGGCTGGGTGACCCGCTTGTACGAAGGCTATTGCATACGGTAGGGTAGCTAGTGCTTCTACGACATTTAGATGTACCCGGAGATTGCAAAATAAAGTAGGATTTGAAGGAAAAGGTAATAATCCATTGTAGATGGATACTTGGACGCCAACGGGGAAACTACTTCACTGAGCGGTTTCTGTAGTTCCCGCATGCGGATAATCATAATCCCCGGTGAGCTCTGGTCTGCATCACCGCATATCTAATACCCCGGCAGGAGGTAAATCGTCATCACTGTCCTCCTCGTCACTTATCACTTCCGAGGACACCACAACACGCTGCAGCGCAGCTTTTGCAGGATCGATGGGAGGGTCTTATCAGGCCACGACAGGGACTGGGCCACATCCCCACCCCTGAACCATAAAATGACTGAATCAAATTCCCATCCAACCTGACGTCAAAACAAGACGAGGATTCTGTAACGAAGAGGGCCGTTATGGGCGCAATATTGATAGAACCGCCGAGATAAGATATCGTCTTCTCATCTTAGATGGCCACGGAAGTCATCTAACGCCTGGCTTTGATAAAGCCTACAAGGATAATGATATTATCGCTATCTGCATGCCTGCCCATTCTTCTCGTCTCTTGCAACCACTAGATGTTGGTTGTTTCAGCCGTTTAAAGCGTGCTTACGGAGGCCTTGTTAAAAAAGATGCGCTTAGGGATACAACCAATGGCATGACGGCAGATAGACGTATCCAGAAAGTGAAACGGCAGAGAACGATCTGCATAGGGCTGGCCCGTCCAGCCTATCTCCTGACAACCAGTCAACAATATGCCTGCCAATCGAGGAAATAGATGATGTTATACGTGCAATTATGCAAGGTCAAGAGACCATGCACATGCAAGCCGCGTATGCTAGATAAGGATTAAATCCAGATCACAGGCACATGCTCTATGCTTTCCATGCGCCGCAAAGGAGTGCCCAGAAAGCCTAGACAGCCCAGAAAGACCGAGAATTGAATCGAACCTGAAGGCAAGCTGGCCAAGGATGCCCATCACCAAAACCTCAACACGTTGAACCAATCGTGCCGATGCCATCCAAAATGACATCCAAGCAGTGATAATCCCTTGCGACACTTGATAATGAGACGACCCTTGCGAAACCCGTGAGGATTGCTATTACGTATTCTTGCATGAAGCAAAAGAAGCAGAAACATCTATCTCTGGTCTATACCTCTATCCACTGTGCCCTCCGGCGGCTCTAGACCCGCCTGCTGGTTCTAATGTATTCAAGTCTGGAACTCGTTCGAAGGATGATAGTAGACTCTCCCTCTGTCATTGAAAAAACGAAACGAACGGATATACAAAGCTATCTGAGCGCAAACAACATTACAAGGTAACTGACGGATGAGGCGTACTGCCAGGACGTTCAAAACCTCAACTTGCCTATATCAGCCGCTTATGCGTAAAAAAAACCTGAATGGCCCGGACTATCATGCATCCAAGGCAGTTGAACAGGGTCGAAGGTCATGGAAAATGTCCGGAAATGAGCGACTGCTGACCTCTCGAATGCCGGATTCCTGAGTATTCGATAGACTGCTCTGTCTCCATTGACCGGACTGAACAGGTCATGATCGAATTTAAATCTGTCTTCATATGTATGCATCAACGTTGGTAAACCCACGGGCATGAATCAGAAAGGATGGTCCAGGCACTATATAGCTAGGATCTCTAAATTGGCCCGTAGCAGAGGTAGCACAACATCCCCAAGCATACACACGCGACTGTTCGTCCTAGAGGCCGTTCCTTGTCTACGTATTATAGTAAGTAGCGTTAGTTTCGGCCCTTGGGACAATGGCACGAATGCTGCCTCAGCTATCAGGCATCCTAGCTGAGAGCCGCCAACTGGTGCTAATGTCTGCTTAGTCATTATTTACCATCTGCTTCTCTATAGTTACTTGGACAATCATCGCATGATCGATAGTTCAACGACCACCGTCGACCAAGCTCATCACTCCCCGATCATGCCTTCAACTCATTCACCCCCATCGCCACCGGGTGCACAAGCTGAAGTGACTGCAAGCTGGGAGCGTCTGCGCAAGTCCTGTGATTCCTGCCAGGAAGCCAAAGTCAAGTGCAGCCAACACAAGCCCTCATGCCATCGCTGCCTCCGTCATCGCCAACCCTGCGTCTACAGCCCGCAGCGTCGCACAGGACGACCGCGAAAGAAGCCGACCTTCGTCGGGATTGCATTTCCCACCGTTAATTCTGGGAGCGACATAAACGGGACAATAATCAGAGAGCCTACTAGCTCAACTGGCAATGGTCAGGACCTCGTCATGGCCGATGTCCGCGGTGATGAACCACGCTTGCTGACCGGTGACATTACTGCGGACAACATCAATCCCATCGACAGCGTCTTTCAATCATCGTTTGAAGCCCTGCTAGCAGCCTCGCCACTCAGCAAGCATCCGACCTGCAGAGATATCAACTCAGACGCCCATCATACAGGCTATCTCGCCGCCTCCCCTCCCTCGTCCGATGCGTTCGGCGATTTATCCCTTTTCTTGCCCGATTATAATATCCCCATTCTACCACATCCGGCGCATGCGCTCAGCATCGATCAGCTGCCCTCGCTCACTATGGACGCCTCGAACACAAGCAGTGAGTGTGGGGACTGCGGAGCGAAATGTTATACGATGCTTCTTCAACAGCTGTTGTTCCTGCGCCAGTCGCTTCCTGAGACCACTCGCCCCTCAATCGACGTGATCCTGCAGGTGGAGCGCCACGTGCGCAGTCTTCTCGACCGGGTTTTGGGCTGCAGCCCGTGCCTCAGTAATCGCTCCTCTGTTCTCCTCATGTCGGTGATTACGGAGCGTGTGATCCAGATGCTTGACTGGATCATTGAGGAGAAGACCCTGCTGGACACTGAAAGCGCGCGCTCCAGCCGGCGAACATACAGCTCCTGGGCGCGGACTTCAGGACTACCCCCCACTGGCAGCCGTGCCGGCGATCGGACGCATGTCTGTCACATTCCACTCGTTGTAGGTAATACTGAACTAGACGAGGATACCAAACAGTACTTCCTCAAGCAGCTAATCCTCATGCGGATGAAAAAGCTTGCCGTCAAAGTACAGGATGTGCGACGTACCACTAGTAGGCGACCCGGGGACTGCATCTACCGTGCTGCCGAATTGGTGCTTGCAGAGTCTCTTCAGCGATTAGACTACCTTCGTGGCCAGGTTCAACTGTGGGAGTGACATGCTCGCCGAACCGATGCGTCCCTTTTCCCACTAACGAGGTAAAAAATGACATTGAGATACCCATGCAGCATTCATGACCGTTATATTCTAGTCTACGTCAATGCAAAAAGAGCGCGCAGTAATCCCTATATTACTTCCTCCTTCTTCTCCTTTTTTTGTCCTTTTAGTCTTCACTCGATTCGACATATTCCGACCTCAGTTTACCTACACTTTCTCAGTCTTTCATTGGAAGAGCGTCTCGAAACGTCATGATTTCTTGTAAGTACAGTTTTCCTCTATCTCTGCAAAACATCGAGTTGGTCATGAAACACTGACGGGTTGACCTGTGCCAGGACCATTGGCTCATTTTCCTGCACCTGTCGATCAATCTGGCAATACCCTCAGGGGTTGCCTTCCATTGCTGGTTGGTCTCCTTCACTCGCGCATCCGCTGAGCTGATGATTCTCCTACCGTTCACCATGGTCATGGCCACACTGTTACTACCGCTCGATGTGATCTCGCCATTCGTTCGGCGCCTGGAGGAGATCGAATAGCAGTTGACGAGTCTCCAGCTCCTGATACGGCAGATACTGCTTGGCTGCGCTCCCGTTGAGGACAGTCTGCCACATTTTACGCGCGTGGTGCCACTTTTCCCCGTTCATCAGCCCAGAAAATTACCCATCGCGCATTAACAACTGAAAGCGAGATGGCGGACGGGCCTGGGAGTTCGCGCCCTGTTTGATGAAAATGCCGCGTGCCTCCTGGAGGCCGCTCACGACCACATGGGCCGTATCGCCTAGCATGACGGTATACACGGGACCGTAAGTCTTGGCCCATTTGGTACATTGGTACTGCGGGAACAGCATGTCAACCCGGATCGGCTTGGTCAGCAATGATTTGGCTCGCGCGGGCATGCATATAGATGAATAGAGAAGGACGCACCTGCTTGAGGTTTCCCCATATCAGCTCCGTGGCCGGGCCCGGAGGGAAATTCTTGGGCCGGGCTCCAATCCTCAGGAGTTTCGTCGCGAGATAGCCCACGACAACGGTGAGCGCTATGGTTCCTGGGAGTAACACTCCTGGTGCATATCCGTAGATGTAAAGAGAGTCCATAGGCACCTGTCTTAGTCCTGGTGTTGGAAGTCGAGTCTTGGTACTGCCATAATTCTGGCCTCTACTTACATCCTATCCTGTCTCTCAGCTTTATACCCATTTTCCAATCAGGTAAATCATATCAACGATTTGCATTGTCTGAGGGAGCGAATCTTCGAAGCGATGGTGTTCGCCACGGTAGTAAAACAAACATGCATGGTTGCTAAAACTGGAAAAACCCACCGAGGCCAGGCCCCCCCCCATATTCATGTCGGGTAGTTTCACTCCCCCCTCCACCCCCTCCCTCCCTCTCTCTCCCACTGCGAATATCGTGCCATAGACACAGCCCAAATATCCCATAAACGACTGTATTAATAATCATCACGACCACAGTTTTCCTGCCTCATCCTTCACTCAGAAAACAATCTCCCCAGCAGCGCCAACACCCTCGACAAACACCGACTGACAGGCCCGTCCCCCTCCCGACCGTACAGCCCCGGCCTCATCCCGGAAGCCATCCCCAAGCCAAAGTCCACCCCGCCGACCCCGGATGCGGCACCAGGCGCCGGACTGCCCCCGGCCGCCTCCTTGGCACGGACATACACATCGCGCAAGAGGACACTCAAGTTCGTGAGCACGGCGTAGACAACCTGTCGCACGAGGAGGGTCTCCTCCTCGGCCTGCAGGGTGAGTTTACCCAGCGCCATGGGGGATTTGGTACATGTCAACGAGGAGCCTGCATTGGCAGTAGGCGTGGCAGTAGCGGTGCCATTACCAGTAGCGGTAGCGGTAGCGGTGGAACCGGAACCGGAACCGAGCTCATCGTCGAGGAGGCCGTACGCTGTGCAGGCTGCGTGGCAGAGGGCGAGCACCGCGTCGGAGAGATCCACGAGCGGGGCATTCAGGTGGCTGTAGCTGTGGCAGGGGTTTCTACAGCCCTCGATTGATTTGCAGAGATCGGCGAGGGGCTGGGTGATGGTGGTGAGGAAGCTGAAGTCAAAGGGGCCTTCTATAGGGAGGGTGGAGGAGAGGTGTTTGATTTGGGGTGGGCAGGGGCATGGGCAGGGGCAGGGGCAGGGGTTGGGGTTGCTGGTGGCTGTTGTGGTCATTGTGGAATGATCTGGTAATCTATGGTGAGCTTTCCCGTTTGATCTAGACAAGTTGAGTTCAAATATCAGATCGACTTACGGGGGTTTGTTCGCGGGTAGGATGGGCATGATCAGGGCTCGGGATTAATTCAAGGTGAGGTAACAAACGATGACTGGTTGAAAGAAGAGTGTTCATCATTAGTTAACTAGTTAACTATGCAATATGCATGACTAATTAGTTGGATGCTGTTCTAGTATGTTCGCTTGTGTGCCTCTGTAGAACATCCCTGCTTAAATAACGTAGGAGTATGTATATAGCTCACTATGCCTTGAATATACATAGTATATTCAGAAGAGTAGCATGTGGAGGAACACCGTTCATTGAATTAAGCTTATGGTATATAGTTTCTAGCATCTAACAACTAAATGTATACTGCCAAGTGCTATCTCTTCAATATCTGACGAACATACTAAAAAACCAAACTTCCAGAAAAACCAAGCAGATACTTCAGATGCTGGTTCGTTCCTCCTGGATTTATGGGGTTGGGACCGATTCACTCTGGTGGCTGTGCGTCCGATTCTTCTACAACTACAGTATGCCATCTGTCTCGGTGGTCTACTGGGCTGAACTTGTCTATAATGGTAGTATGAATGAAGGCAATGGAAAGTGGGAAGATGATAGCTACATCACAGCCACTCCTAGTAGTTCATTCTGGAGGAAGCAGTATCCCTAGCTCTTCAGTAGTTAGAGAATCAGACCTCTGTCATGGACTTACTGGCCATTAAACTCCTACACTATATCTAAGGCCAAGTCCTGCAGGTTATATGAACTGAATTAAAGCCATTACTAATAACACAAGTTGTCCTAGATACATGAAGTATGAATGCAAGAAGACGAGAATTCTCCAAAACATCCTCATTGTCGCCGTTGGGGTCTGTACCAATACGCACATAGGAAAGAAGTACCATGCGGTTCAGGTATATAGAGAATTCAGAGGCCAAATCTTCGGAGCACAATAATCCACGTTGGTCCCGCTCCCATGGCCCGGCTGCTGCGGTGAATATCAGTCGGTGGATCCGAAGTCGAGATGTCCATGCTAGTGGCGTGAGGTATGTGCCCTGTCCGCTGGTTCCTGGAGCTACTGAAATAATAAGGCACTTCGGGGATCTTCAACATTCATGGTTCATCCGCTTGAAGACGTGCTGGCCCTTGTGGCGTGGGATTGCTGGAGGGAGTCCGGAGCCGCCTCTGCAACCTCGGGAGTCGTGTCATGTCAATCAGGGGGGTTTGAATAAATTCCGAGAAAATTGTACTTGCGAATGTATCGTCTGCTAAATTTGGTTCCAGTTGGAACGGGCAGGGCAGACATTTTGAAACGACGGGGACTGTAACCTATTGGCTATCTGACTGGCGTTCAGAGACCTGATCAAGGGGAGGAATATTCCAATCATTGCAAAAGTCCAGAAAACATCATTTTCCTCGGTTGACCCAAGCTAACTGCGGGTTTAAGGTGCTATATCAATCTGGTTCCAGGTTGTGCCACCATGATTGCAATATTTCCCGGATATCCCAAGCGACTTCGCAATTACCGTGACACTCTTTAAACTGCTATTTTGTATCTGGATCTTTCAAGCAACCGATTGTCTCCGAAACCCTATAAAGTAAGAAACTAGTGTAAATTGGGAAAGCTCTAGGATAACAATATTTCTCTAATCACTATATCTTATACTATAGACATCTGTGACTGTAATAGTGGTATGTATTTGCATATCGCCAAAGGCAAGGGGTCAGCGTATGAATACTTCATCATCATCAGCTGGAATATTTCCAGGTGTTCCGTAGTACTGAGCATCACACAGACAGTCAGCTATTCATACTCATAGTTTCTTCTCTGGGACTGTCTAGTCACTTTGCCCTGTTCTCGCCGACTCTTCATCCAGGCAGCTCTGACAGACTTGGTGTATTCTCTCTTTTCCGGGGTGATTTCCAGCCCCCGGCAACCAAGGAAGGCAGTCTTTGGAAAGTGAGAGTCAAATAGCAAGGCATGGTTCCTGGTTCTGGTTTTGTTTTCGTTAAGCTTGAAGGACAAACATTAATCTAGGAGATTTACGGATATTACTCACACTTCTGTTTCCTGCTCGGCAACAAGATTGTTCACAAGTAATTCCCTCAGTTCCGGGAATAATGGCGCTTTACAGTGTTGAAGCTCACAGACGTTGACCTCAAGCCATCCAACCGCGCAGCTGACCAGGCACGGACAGGACTCGGCAAGTGCTATCAGAGATGCTGTTGTGAGATTTTCCCGAGCACAGGACAGAGATATTTCTCTCAAATTAACGAGACCCGAGACCAAAGCTCGGAAATGAGTGTTGTTGAATTTCGGAATCCTGAAACCCTTCCGTAGCGGGGTTACAAGGTGTAATTCTCTCAGGTGCGAGAGAGTCCCGAGAGAGATGAGGTCGTCAGGTGAGATCCTAGTACGGCCACAAAATTTGATACGCAGATGCCGTAGCTCGGTCAAGTAGGAGGAAAGCAGATTTATGGTCAGTGAATCGATGGTGGGTACGACTTGTACGCTGCGCCGGAGATAGAGTTCCTGGATCCCACGGACTGATGGGATAAGGGCCCGAAATGCACTCTCATTTCGACTGCTGAGTTCTAGCCGTTGAAGCGATCTAAATGGTTGCGGTATAGAAGAGAGATCTGCAGTGTCGATTGTATCTGGCCAAAGATCCTGATAGATATCAAGCTGTCTCAGGCTATTCTGTGCCGCTAGGTAGCGGAGGATCTGCGGTGGGAAAATGTGCCGGCGAACACTGAGGAGGCCGACGTGCACCACGGACGAGCATTTCTTGAAGAAGGCGACAACCGAATCAGCCGTCAAGCGCGATGCAGGAATATCCAGAATAATGTGACGGAGCCGATGGCAATGGCTGGCAAGGGCGTCCAGCAAATCTGGATTCGCTACGTGGTCGAGCTGGATGCTTGTTAGGGTAGGCACGAGGTACCCTCTGACGGATGAGTCCGGGAACGGCGGAGAGTTGGAAGAAGAGGGAATGTCAAATATCAGCCTGTGGAGTTGACTGAATTCGAGCTTCCCTAGCTCTTCATGTTCCCGCGGCTCGGGGCTCGTGACAGTAAGCTCTTGGATCAGGGAGGCATAGGTTTGGCGACGATTGCCTGGAACCTCCAAAAGACGAAAATCTTCGGCCACTCGCCACAGTCTGGGGATCGCGTACTGAAAACATTTGCGGCTGACTTGTATAAAGCGGGCGCAGTCAATAGAATGCACATGGTTGAGTATCTCGAACCAGAGTTCTGGTGGCAGTTTCTCCATAATAGAACTTGTTCAGTCCCATCAAGAAATGACTCGCAGAGGTGAAAAATGCACCCCAGGCCTTTTAGCCTCCGACAAACACAAGATTCCCCTGGTGCAGCATCTACTTCGTATCGTATTCGACTGCAAATGGCTAGAACTTCCAGCCACCCGCGGATGGCGCGTACAGGCCACGGAGAAGCCAATATGTGAGGATCTGAAAAGGGGATTTCTCCAAGTGGAGCCTAACATGACTCTGGCGACTACATTCTTTGAGTAAGTGGATCAGACGAACCCGCAGGCCAGTAGACAACACGGAGTCGACTGGGAAAGGGACTTTTAAGTATGTATTAACTGATTATACGCAGTGGAGCAAGGTAACAGTGGAACGGCTGGACCATGGTCCATCCACCACTTTAATTGAATACTGCATTGCATGTGACTGCAGATTAAGCAATTTGATATCATCCTGAAACTAGACATACAAACACAAGAATAAGACTACAACTCAGACATACAAAGCAAGAGATTACTCCTCCACTGGCGCTGGTGCCTCCAAAAACTCCCACGTCGTGAACTCAGTCTCCAACATATCCGCATCCCCTTCTGCCTTGCCCGCCCCGAATGCCTTCAGATCCCACTTCTCCACTCCGTCCACACCCTTCAGATCAGATGCAAACTCTCGGAAGAGGTCCGCGTTCAGCCGCTCATACTCGCTGTAGTCCTTGGGCCAACCACCCAGCCGCTCCACAGCGAGTTTCAGCAGGTACAGATGCCGACGCACACGCTCGCCGTCCGGGACGTGGCCAACCGGCTCGCCCATATCGAGGTCGTATGTGGAGCCATCCAGGCTCATGCTGTTGTCGAGACCGCACTCCAGTTCGGCAAACGAGGGGTCGCTGAAGATGCGGAGCAGGTTCTCGTGCAGCGCCGCGCTCTTCTTGTAGTACCGGTTGGCCATCTCCTGTCCGTTCTTGTGGGACTGGTACCGCAGGCCGACGCCAATGTACAGCTGGGACAGAAGGACGGAGGTATCCAGTGTAGCGGGGTGGCAGGCACCGTGCACGCGGCGGCAGTTGTACACAATGTCCTCGGCCAAGCGCAGCGCGGCCATCGAGTCGCCGACGAGGTAGCGAGCCAGCACGAGACGGCGGCCCAGCGCAAGTGTGACGTATGGCTTCCAGGTACGCTGAGCTTCGCGGCTGTTCCAGAGTTTGTTCAGGAGCCAAGCGAGAGTTTGGTAGTCTTGCTGCTCGCCCAGGAGGCCGATGAGATTGTTCAGGTGGTGGAGGCCGATCTGCGACAGGTCGATCTTGAGTCCATCGATGACGCGGAGTGCGTCCTGGATGATGACAGCGGACACCCCCAGGAGCTTCTTGCGAATGGCGTCGTCGGGGCGAGGTACGACATCGCGCCCAGAAATGGTCATACCCAAGACAAAGGCAAACTTGACGATAGCAGCACTCCGGTAGACATCATGAGCCGATAGGTATTTGAAGCTGGCCAGCGCCAGATCACAAGCTGCTTCGTAGCGTTGGTCCTTGAGAAGTTCCGTGACCCGATGGATGGCTGCAATGCCAATGGAGCGGATAAACTCGTTCGAATGATGGGAACTGAAGTGGTCCAAGATAGTAATGACCAAGATCTTCACACGCGAGGTCTCGGTCAGATTCACGCGCTTGCCCTCCGTGGCGGCGAAATAGC